AAAAGTAAATAAGTTAGAGTTTTTAAAACTTTAATCTAGAAGAAAAGCTTTATAGCTATTAAAGTATATAAATATTTATTTAGTTAGTAATATAAAGTAGTAGTAAAGATAAAAAAGTACTTACTAATATAGTAAGTAAAGTAGATATTAGAGAATAAAAGAATATTCTTATAAAGCTTTTTTATTACACTTAGTATATATAGTACCTAAGTATCTTAGTACTAAATCTTATACTTAATAGATATTTATAAATAGATATTATATTAATAGATTATAGTACTAAAGTTTTTTAGTAAAAAATTAAAAGTATTAAAATATTAGCTAGAAGCTTAGCGCGCTAAGCTTTATAAAATTTATAACTTAACTAATTATAAGTAGACTATAGAAGCTTTATACCTTATACTTATTCTTATATATCTATATACTATTACTTATAATACTAGATTAATAAATACAATTATATACCTCTTACTACTCTAATAAAGCTAATCTAACTCTCTATCTTAAATTAAGATGTCTTCGCACTACTCTAGCGATAGTGCGCCTTGATTTTAATAACACGATGTTCTTCCGGCGCTATCTACGTTATTGTATGCGGCGCGGAAGCAGCTCGCGACGTCCGAGATCTAGTTGCTCTCGATTTATTCTCATGTCGGTAGCCTCAACACCGCGAGCACGAAAGCAGAACAAAAGCATCAGCTACATGCGCTTCTACGACCTTCGTAACGACTCGCTCGCATGCTTGCTTAGTAGGAGTATTTTTCTCAACACGCGTGCGCATGGGTTCAACGCGCGTAAGCAGGACCAGCAATATACATCTCCGGTGAAATGCGCAAGATAGAGCGTAAGTCTGCCGTCGCGTAGGCGTTGCGAGCGCTATATCGTGGTGTAGAACACCTGGATTACACCGAAGATCGCGTCTAGAACGTTCAATTGGAAGTGTACGACAGTGCACGCGTCGACGTCGTCTGAGTCGCGATGTCCTCCAGCGGAGCCTGTGCGGCGGAGGACCTAGATGCTAATCGTGAATCAAGTGCGCGCCGCAGCTGACGCAGGCCTCACGGTCAGCAGCATTCAAACGCAGGCTTCTCGGACGAGGTGAGCGCATACGTTGGGTATCGATCGGTCTGCAAATTCAGTGACCCGAGGGAACGAGCCTGCATGCAGCTTGCGACGCTACCTATGTAATACTCTAAGCATGCAATCGAAGCAGCTAGTCGTTAATTCTGCTGTCGCATTCGGAAGAAGAGGATCAACCTGGTTGCGTATCCTCGGGAGCAGCATGATCTGAGGTTTGGCTGCAATAAGTGAAGGATACTTGAAATTTAGCCAGCCGGATACTACAGACGCTGCTAGCTCAATCCTCCGGTTACAACACGAGAACCGTATTCCTAAACAGCCCTGTAAACATTCCTCAATCGTCATGCCCTTATTGCCCCACTCTCGCGCCACTCGTTGAACTCCAGCCACTCCCTGTATCTCCTCGCTTCGTCATCCCGCTCCGTCGCGCGGGGTTGCGCACTACCGGCCCGAAAGTCTGAGACGTTAGCCCGATGTACCAAGATGCAAAGCCGCGGGACTCACTGTTCTGAACATCGTGTAAACGTTTGCTGATGCTCGGCCATGCGAGACCGATGGCGAAGCAGGATAATGCTGCAATGACGCCGACCAAGGTGAGAATGGCCTCCTTCGACCATGATTTGGATAGTGGGTTCGATGCGGGCGGACTTTGCAATGTCTCCAAGTTCTCCGGGCGAGTAATAGGCTGCGCAAGACTAAGTTTTGTGTGAACGACAAGTAAAGCAAAAGACGTGATCTGAGAAGGCATGCTGTGCTATAATCACTTGATGCGACGTCTAGCTTAAGTTGTGTCTGGTTGTGAGACTCTCGTCAATTCGCATTTCAGCGATTTTATGAACCTCTACCGGTCACCCCGTCTGTTGCCTGGTCGTGCGGCAATGTACAGCCAAGCTATTGTGGAAGTATGTGACCAATCAGGGTGATCAGGACATCTGCGAGAAGAACAGGGCTATTCCGCCATTGCGTGGGAGCAGACTATTGGTCTTCGTGACGAGAGACAATGAACCCTGGCAGACATGATGAGCGCACAGGGCGACTTGCACGCTGCCGGAAGTAGTGCTCGTCGACTGAGGCGCGACAGTCTCTGTACGTTATTTCCATGTGTCCTGCGCGGCTGATGCGGGGAATACCAACATCGAAAGGCCAGGTTCTTCCGTTACCTGTACCGGTTCACCCCCCAAGATAACCTCAATCTACGCAATAGCAAGACTGCAGTCATCATCATCTTGAACCAATTTTGAACAGACGTAGCACTGCGCCGAAGCAGCCTCGTGCGCTCTTTTGCGGCACACCACTCGCTTTCTTCTCCAAGTGTACTAGCTCCTGCTCTTTCTCCAGCTCCAACTCGTTTGCGCGTCGCACTCTCTCCTTCATGTCTGCGCGATGCATGTCGCCGAGACCCATCTTCGCTTCTTCACGTTCCGAGTTCCACTGCGACAGGCTTTCGCGTGTCGGTATCGCGCGCTGTCCGACTCCAGGGATACTTCGGTGTGGGCCCATAGATATGTTGGGGTAACGAGCCGCCGTTGATGGCGGAACGTATCGCGGCGGAGGGCCGACGTACATGCCTGGCTGCGTATGACGATGGAGGGATGAGCGGTGCGTCTGATCTGGGAGAGCGACTTCGAATGGTGAAGGGGTGAAGCGCGAGGGTGATGTACGCTGCTTTCCACACGACCCCGGTTGCGCAGCTGTGATTGCAGCATGTGACTCCGAACGTGCTCTTCGCATTTCGCCTTGGTGATGCTGCTGCTGAGCTGAGCGAGATATGCTGCGTCTCCGGTTCTGCTGTGACAGTTCAACATGAGCAATGCGCTGGGTAGGCAGCGACGCCGAAGGTGCAGTCAGTTCCAGCTGCATCGGGCCTGCTGAATTCGGTCGCGGGCGGTTCTCGTGGGCCGGGGTGGTCGTTTGGCGATATCTCAGCTTCGATGGCCAGGCGACGGGGATCAGTGGAAGTTCAGCCGTGTTGAACGGTTGTTCGAACGAGTCAAAGTTCGTTCCTTTTGCGGCGCGATTGAAGGATCCAATACTTGTGTACACATCGCTAGCCTCGAGACTATGCGACCAGAGACATGACTGGCTGTTCATGGTTCCAACGCTGGATCGGCGGTCAAGAGTGCCGCTTGAAGACGAGGAAGATGAGAAACCGCTCATTGAATAGCCGTTGGTGAGTAATTGAGGATGACTGGAGTATGATCGAATGTTGGACCGTGAGGCAGAGCGCACTGATTGCCTTTCCATCTTGGGATAACTTCCATCTTGCGGCATGTGCTGCACGGACTGGTGGCGACGTTCCCGCGATGCTACTGCCCCTCTGTGATGGAAGCCTGAATGCTCTCGTCGGGCGTTCCAGCCTTCCTCCTCTAAGTTCATTCCTCTACCATGATGGCTCTGTTCGTACCGCTCTTGGTGGCTTACTGTAGAATGCAAAAGCGATGCAGAAGCCGCAGCTTCGGCTTGAGAGCACTCCAAACTCGACAATTGTCGGTATCGACTTGGTTGTGTTATCATGGTCCCAGCATTCTCTCCCGCTTTGGAGGCGTATTCCTGGTCTCGCGGCGGCCTCTGTATCTCAGCAGCAAAGAGACGGAACTCAGGCGTCGCAACGTCAGTCGCTTTGAGTTCGCTGATGCTATGGAGAGTGCGCCGTCTTTCCTGTAACCGTTCTGGCTTGGTCTTAGGCTGAAACTTGGGCGATTGAACCTGAGGATGAGGCTTCTGGAGAGGCATGCTGAGGGTTGGTCTTCCTGAAGGGATGCCGCGTTACTTTCAGGTACTCCGGTTGGTCTATATCTCGTAGTCGAAGCGTTTCAAGGTTTCCTTAAGTGCTTGTAGGTTCGTGGAAGCTTTTCTCGATGCCGCGCGCCTTGAAGCGCACTATTGGTGATCTCGGAACTGAGCTGCATATCGTGCTACAAACCCTGCATACTTGCCAAGCGAGGATACGTCGGCGGTGTGGCCGTTCCGTTGCCGTCGCACCTGGAATGGGTCTTTGGACAAGCAGACGTGGAACGGGGACACGGATTGCTTTGCGAGTAGCGGTCAGTGTGAATGCTGCTGTTCATGAAGAGTGACACGAACGACTTGGCAAAGTCTCGTTTATCCTGGGCAACATAGCATCACACTAGTTGACGCGAAGAGTAATACGGTATTGATGATTTGAGTTGCTGCAGCGCGCGTACGTGCTCGAGTCAAGACCTGCGCCTCGAATGTGTCAATACTACTGCTTTCCGCATCTCCAGTGATTCGGGGCTTTGCTAGGTGGATCATGACTGCGATGAGGCGGTTGCTGCAGATCATCTCGGGAAAGCCATTCCCTCGGCGACCCAGCCGTGAGGGTCCAAGCGCGTGGCGGACAGGTGGTCTGGCAGGGTGAGCCATGTCGGGTCCAGTATGACTGGAAAGCAAAGTCACATTTTGGGTACAGCAGCCTAGCATTGCGCTCTCATAGGTCACCGCGGATGCGCCACCATGTTGGGTTCGGTGCGACGAGGTGCAGCAGGGGAACGGGCCGTGAGATCGAGACGCTTGTGAAGACAATGTAGAAAAGAGCTATCGAGCCATGCGAAGTCCGTCGAATGAGAAGCGCGTGAATGCTGGCTGCATTGATGAAGATGATTAGCATCCTTTCACAACGCAGTGTAAGGCTCTTGTGTGAGCCAAGATCAGCATAGCTGCCGTGCGATTTGGCAACTCTAAGACATCACACCTTCTCGCTTCCTGCAAACTCAATGCTTGACATAAGTGGAACTGGTCGTGTAGCCACATATTCGGGCTCGGTTGCGGGGACACCGGGGACCCCGGCGCGCGATGGGTGGATAGGACGCGAAACTGGTAGGCGCTGAGACGTTCACTTCATTAGTGTTCGCTGTCCGCACGAACATCTGGCGTCTGGTGTATCTCAATCCTCATTTTCCTTACTTGGCGTTCGCATCATCTCTAGCTTTGGTCTGTTCATCTTGTGTCGAGACATTCCTCTGTCTTTCCAGCTTCCTTGCCTTCATGTCTGCCGTCATCCGACTCATCCTCGCGCGTATCTCGTCCATTCTGACCGCCATATCATGCGTGTTGGGGCTGGGATCCCGGCCGTGATTGACGCCGACGGCGAGCTTGTCGCGCATAGGTCGTGGTGTAGGTACGCGGGCCGTGTTCGCGTCATGCACGGTCTGCGCATCGGCTATGGCAGATCGAAGGAAACCTGGATTGCTCGTGCCATTGGCCTTCACCGGAAGCTTGCTGTTTGTATAAATTGAAGAGCAGGTACTACGCCGAGTAGTGGCTACGTCGTTCAGCGATAGAGAGTGGGCCGAGTCCGAGCGTGGGTGAGCGGGCAACGGGGAGGACGCTCTAGGTATCAGTCTCCTAATGGACTTGGGCGGGATAGGCGGAGCGTGTTCGAGATCGGGTGAAGGGTCACTGTGGGCGTCATCTGGCCCGGTCTCAAGTTGTAGCCCGTTTGTCCGGCGACCGTGAACGGCAGAAGCCAGACGGTGCGAGTGAGAAGCTGTCGCGGCGCTGGATGTAGTCTTTGTGTTGTCGGCTGCTGGTTGGCACCATCCTAGGCTTGCCTTTGTAGGGCGGGTATAGTTGGGCGCATTCGTGGTAGACGCAGACGACCTCAAGCTAGCTGTTACAGGCTGAGCATGGCTGGGGGCGCTCGCTACGGCCGGAGCAGGCCGGCTCCCGTATGACGCCGAGGTTGGTGAGAGTGATGGCGTAGGCGTAGGCGACTGGCATAACTGCGAGTATCGCGATGTTGTTTGCGAGGCCCGTGGGCTGTCGCGGATCGAGCTTGCTTGCGAGGTGGCCGAACCACATCGCGGTCGCGACAGTGAGGTGAACAAGCGCTTGCCCAGTGAAGGCGAAGTGCAGCGGTATCTGGAGATGACGCTAGGCAGCGCCGTGTTGGACATGCTGGCAGGTGCAGCTGGTCCACCTGGAGTCGCGACTTCCTCCTCAGCACCGACGTACTTCCTCATGACCAGCTCCACCTGAGCAGCAACATCGTCCAAGTCCAACGCTTCGAGCACATCGAGCGCTTTCATCTTGTCGTTCAAGGCCGCGCACCACTCATGACTGATTGCGTTCTGAGATTGGGCTATCCTTTTGTTGCGAGCCATGATGTCCACCCAGTCGCGATAGGACTGAAGACTTTTCTTCATGTCTACGCAAACTTTTGCGACGTGCTTCTTGCTTACAAGGGCACACGGGTCTAGCGCCTCAAGTACAGTAACGTTCGCTGCGTTGCCGGTGACCTTACGCCAGATGGCCAGCAGCCTTTGTAGGTCCCATCCGACGGTCAGCAGATTATTGCTAGCTATCTCAAGCACATCTCGTATGTCGCCGCATATGTTGTTAATGGTGTTGGAGTCCACAAGTAGAGCGAATTGAAATCGTTCGATGCTATCGATGAGCTCGTTGTAGGGGTCAACGGATAGAGCAGAACCCGAGGGCGACTCGATGGCGGTAGAGACCTCCGAGATACGGGGGCTTGTGGAAGCCGGGATCCAGTCAGGTGTGGGACGTCTCGCATGTGTATGATGAGGAACGCGTGTCAGTGGGCTTCCGAAGTGGGTGGTGGTAATGGTCGTTGAGGGGGAGACCGGGTTGGCTATGGGAGAGAACGATTCGGTCTCGGGACGCTGTCCTTCCTGCGTATACTGTGCAGGTATCTGTGAAGTCATAGGGGTAGAGATCAGCAGCTGTGTTCTCACCCCCGTAGAAAGATTGTTGTCCGACTCGAGCATCAGCGCAGTCCCTGTCCCATCCGCACGCTTTGATCGACCGTCACGGTTGTGAACACGCTCCCAGAGACCCTTCGCCGCCCGCTTGGCCCAAGATGCCTTGACGCCCTGGCCGTCTTGACCTTTGCGCGACGCCGCATCAGCATCGCTACGCTTGCAAGTCTTGCCAGACGGAACGAACTTACCTCCTGCGACCGTATTCGCACGTCTGCGCCATCTCCGCAGGCCGCTATTCTCTGCGGCCTCGGGATCCATCCTTCGGGTGACGAAAGCGCTGAACGCACCCATTCTGTCGTCGGCGAAATGGGTATCGGAAAGGGAGAGGACACGCTCGTTCCCGAAATGCAGGACTGATTGCTGGAGGAGGCTTCGCATATGAGGTGGGACTTAGTTGTCAGTACGTAGATGAGATGTGGTGTGAAGCTGTCAGTCGCGCAATATTGCGGGTTGCGCGCATACGAGACCCTCGCCATTGTGGCTCTCGTTACCAGACATTTCGGTGTGGAGAGGCATGACACAACGGCTTATTGGCTCTGCTCGCTGGTCGCTGGTCAGTTTTACGTATGCTGCAAGGGTCCAGGAAGCTCTTTCGTGGCCAGCGCAATGGCAAATCTACCAGTTATCAGGAGGTTTGTCGGCCTTGAGATATTCATTCGAGCGTCTGCCCTGCGCATGTCAGTCTGTCGCAATATGCCGGATGGCACCGGGCAACTGCAGGCTGCGGGCGCTGACAAGCTGCTCCGAGCGACACGGCGCAGCCTGCATTCGGTACCAAAGTATGCACAGCATGGAATGCGACCGCCTCGCCAGCAAAATGGATGGTCATTATGGATTCTTTTATTGTCGCATGCTATCCGAGCCCCTACAAAGCAACCAGTGTAACTCCTAAACGCTCAAACATGTATCCCCATATAACGCTGCCCCGTTGTTCGCGGTCGGCGCCAGCTGCGGGGCGGGTTCGTGACGGTCGTGGAACGAGGGGGAATGCAACATCCATCAAGCACTATTCGCTGTTAAGTTCAGTTACTACGTGTTTCGCCAGGACGCTGGCGAAAAAGAAAAGACGAGGCGGGGGAGGAGAGGAGGTATGGTGTTGAGGCCTGGACTGCACGGCGAGGGCGGACGCGAACGATGTCTTTGGAAGGAAGAGGGCAACGATATTCGTGTTATTGGCTGCGTGATGCCAATTAGCACTCGTCCATGCTCATCTTCTAAAGAGACTTCGTCGCTTTCGCTCGCTCGTACAGTCATGTATAGGCTCGATGTAAGCGAAAGGGCGAAGGCAGGGGTGGACTTACTACAAGCTCAAAGTCAAATCGCCGCGGATACTCGCTTTGAGTTCAATCTCAATCTCCAGATTCGCCTCGAGCGTCAGCTTCAGTCCGTCCTGGTCCTTGAGCTCGCTGCCCTTTTGCTGCGGCTCCATGCGGTAGGGCTGGTTGGGGTCGGTGCCGCGCATGGGGATCTCGCCTCGCATGGCGCGGGCATATGTGACGGGCCCGTCCATGGATGTGCTGTCCGGGCCGATACGCTCGAACATTCCCATCTTCTGGAGATCGCCGTTTGCGTCGGCTTCCTCGAGGGCTTCTAGCGACGTCGTGTGCATGTATTTGCCGTTCTTCTTGTCTTCTTCGATGCGGTTGCGGCGGGCGCGGCGCGACGAGGAGCGCGACCGGGCGGATTGTAGGCCCGCCTCGCGCTTGTCCTGCTTGGCCTTGTTCACAGCCTTCTCTTGCTGCATCGTCGACCGCTCGTGCGGCTGGTTCTCATAGTCGGAGTCCTTGTCGGCCATGTCGTCGGGTATCCTTGCTATCATGCAAGGCCTCGGGCGGTTGGAGGAGGCGGTTCTAGATGGGGATTGTCTGCGTGATGGAGGTGAAGAATTGCGCAGAGGTGTCGAGGTAACGGCGATGGATGCGAGCAAGATGTGAAGTCAGCAAGGTCGAGCAGCAAGCGGAGCTACTACACGCCTACGCACGCCACGACTGGTACGGGCAGCTCCACTCCAAAAACAAGATTACTCGCAACGGCCTGGTCCTCTGTAGCCCCCAAAGCAAGGACGCCGCCGCAAGCCTGCACCCCTGTCTTTTCATCCGTCGTACCGTCTCACCGTTTCAGGCTCGCTACGGATGACGTCAGGCCCACATCGAGCGACACCAGCGATTGCTGTCCCAATCGGGTTGACAGCCGCTGCGTGACGTATGTCAAGACGATGCATCTGCGCGCGTCTTTGCAAGTCGCCCGACATTTGCACACATGCTGACGACGCGCGCAGCGATGGCGAAGCATAACCAGTCTCGCGCCCACGCGAGTGGCTAGTCCGCCCGCCGATCGCTTAACGCGGACCGTTGATCTCGCGGGCAACGGCTGTGCAATACTCGATCCTGGGCATGATAGTTGTCAAGTTTAGACTCAGGCTCGGATAGCCTACTCCCTGCTCAATGAGTTGACGTCGCATGCGCTCTCGGTTACTGGGGTATTATTACAGGGCCTGGTAATAACACGCCTAGTAGAGACATCCCCTGACGCTGCGATGATCATGACGATGTTGGATGAGACTACAGGAATACCAACACCATGAGTATGCCAGCGCGATGATTCAGCAATGAATGGTGGTGCAAGTTGTTCATTGTGTCGTATTATACTGCAATACGTATCGTAACACTACATGCAAAACTCCAAACCAAACGCCATTATGATCTCCCAATGTAACAATCGATGCGTTTCGTGCATTCATCCTCGGCCGTCTCCTAGTTACTGCGCAATGTTAGCATTTGGCTTCGGTGATAAACGGCTGCAGACTTGACTTACAGCAATCCAAGCGTGAGATCACCGTGGATCTTGGCCTTCAACTGGATCTCAATGTCGAGGTTGAGTTCCAGGCGCAGCCTCAGCTGCTCACCTCCGTCCTTTCCACCCTCCTCTTCACCACCGCCGCCACCAGTGAGACCTCCGAGGGCCTTGCCAGCGGTGTCTCCAACTTGGTTGACGGCGTTACCGGCAGTGTTTTGAACCATTTCGCCGGCTCCACCAACTGCATCGCCTCCGGGGACGTTCTCAGTGATGTCGTCTAGCGGACCTCCGCCCTTGCCGCCCTTCTTTTGGCGCTGGCGGTTGCGACGGCCTCCAGATTGGGACACGTCGGATCGCGCATCAGACTCGGCACCGGAGTCTGCGCCCCGTCGGCCACGGCCACGCGACTGGCGGCGTCTCGATTGCGACTTTGACTTTTCTTGTTGGGGTTCGTCGGATTCGTTGTCAGCGTCACCGCCGTTGGTTTGCTTCTTGGATTCTGCGTCCTCTTGCTCAGCTTTCCCTTCGCCATCGCTTTCGGGGGCAGGAGTGGCGTCAGGAGTGGGCTGCTGTTGAGGCTTCTTTCCGCCCAGCTTCTTCGGCGTCTTCCTTTCGGTTTTCTTACTCGATGATTCCGCACTGCCCTTTGCGCCTACCGAGGCGTTGGCATCCGCGTTTCCCTCTCCGGAGACAGATTGCTTGGTCTCTTCAACTGTGTCCGCCATGGTGTTGTTTGGGTAGTTCTTGTGTGGGTGGGAAGTAGTTAGACGGGTGATGCGTGACGAGCTGAAGGTGCTTCGGAAATTGTTGCGAGTCCAGAGCCGCGGCGCAATTCGTTAATAAGAGAAAAGCGGCCTGGGAACAGGAACCGGTTTGAAGCTTCAAGGTACCTGCTACCCCTGCCGCACTCGAGCCACCCGTCATGCAGTCTGACGCACCATGTGGCACCCACATCCACCCCACCGCCAGCGTCCCAAAACTTGACCCCATCCCTGCGCGCTGCCAACCTGATTATTTTAGATCTGAAATCGTGCTTGCGACAGTCTAGCTGTTCCGCTCAACCCGATGCGCTGCGAGCTCGTGTGCCTCTGGTCTCGCTTGCTCGTCATTGGCGCGCGCACCAAGCCCAACAGCGATGCATCGAGCAACGCGTCAGCTGAATGCGCTTGACATCAACGCTTTGGGACATGCTGTGGCACGGGCGAGGCCTCGATCAGTGGTCTGGCGGAACGTTTACCCACAGTGTGCGGGAGACCGTTTAGTGCTGGCGTGGAAATGGGAACGCGTCTTCATAGCGTGCACAATAGATCTGAGGTAGCGCAGCGTCGAAAGAATCCCGCGATAAATTCGATATCATGAGCGTTGTGCTAACGATCGTTGGGAAGACGCAATCGCGGGGCGCACCAGATCTTCCCCGATGGCCGGCCCGAATTGCGCCGGTCTGGCGGGTATCGTGACGACGGCATTTCCATACGCACCTCCTTCGGAGTTCAACGAGAGCAACCAGTCAATTGGACACCAGCATACTACCATTCCAGCATGACATCCCCAGAAGCTGCAGATGCAGCCGCAAAGCAGCGGATCATCAAGCACATGAATGCAGACCACCACGACTCCGTACGCGCCGCCCGCTTCATGCACCATTGATGTCGAATTCGAGTTCCAATCCTAACCTTGACCGTAGATACGCCGGTACGCCGAAGCGTACGCTTCCAAGTCCATGATGCAGAGTCGCTCGGCGCAGATGGTCGACATTGATCTGAACCAGATGGTCCTGAGCTGTGGTGGGCAACAAGCTGTCATCGCCTTCGACCCACCGATGAAGGCCATGCGCGAGGCTCGCGAGCGGCTTGTTCAAATGGATAAAGACGCTCTCCAGACCCTGGGCCGAAGCGACATCGCCATCACGAAGTTCGTGCCTGCGTACGTGCGTCCTGCTCATCTGTGGAATTTTACGCAATGTGTGCTTGCCCTGCTCTTGCTACCGCGGCCGGCAAACTGGCAGCCTGGATCGCTTCTCTACGACACCGTGTTGTATCTTGTGCCTGGCTTCGCGAGCTTCGTCGCTCGAATCGGCTTTACGGTTTGGGCCATCACGGTACCTATCCACATAATCGAAGCCATCATCATGTCGAGGAAGCTTGCAAGACACGGATGCACATTCCTTGATGCGGTCTGGTGGAAGTGGGTGGGTACGTGTCTCGTTGAAGGGTTCACGTCCTTTCTCAGGCTGAATGCGCTCATCGCGGAGAAGAAGAAAGAGAAGGACGCGAAGAAGCATTAAGGACTACAGAGTTTTTGATTCGAAGGCATCTTTCGAAGGCATCTTTCGTAGTCTAGCATACTCAACTTCATGAGATTTTCTCAGACGGCGATGCGCCCATATACCATACCGGTCAGGACTTCTCCTTGGCATCCAATCGAGCACTGCGAACGTAATCCTGAACTCATCGAGTTGGTAATACAAGAAACGGTATATGCTTGCAACGCCAACTCGATGGATCCGGCATTACGTTCGCAAAGAATGTTCTTCGTAGAGTCTACACTATGCACGTCTCTATATTATCAGTTAGATACGCTCCCGTTGCGAAGAGTTCATCGCATGTGTTGCGTTTCGACATGATAAGCGTCTCATTCGCTTTCGTGATATCCAGCTGTCTCGCGAAACCTATACTCGCCTTCCCCGTCGAGATGTTTGACTTTTCATTTTGATCTGGGGATAGGGATGCCGGTGGCAGGGAACTAGTTTATGTTGGCAACGACGTCGGTTTTGTGTGGATCTTGTTGCATGGTAGACTCATATGCGACATGTTGCGCGCGGTTGGTTGGTGCAGAATTGTATTAATTGACGGTACGTCCAGGCCACAGCAATGTATCATGGGTGCTACATTGGTCAGCATCGAGCAAGTTGGAACGGCTCAACCACAAAACCGAAATAGCAAATTTTCGCGATCCGTATAACAACTGCGTGTTCCCCTTTCGTGCCGTTCTTGCGGACACACTTAACATTCTAGGATTAAGCTGAGCTGATACCGACGCCTGGCGACACGGCGCACGAGAAGCCTCGCCCCATACCGCCGCGATGCCTCCAAAACGAAAGAGCGAAGCAATCACGACTGCAAACCCCACCAAGAGAGTTAAGACAGGCGGCGCCACCACACGCACACATCCTCTGAACAAGCCTGCCGGCGATGACACACCCGCCAACAACAACATCAAAAAGAGAAAGCCCAAACAACAACTCAATCAAATCCCACGACCATCCACAGCTACGATGAATGGTACAGCATACTCTCCATTCATGACCCTGCCAACCGAACTGCGCTGCCAAATCTACAACTACCTAGCAGCCATCGTCTACGATCCCGTTTTCCCCGAGCCGGGCATCTGCAACTGGGAAGTATGTCGGATGCCAACCGCACTGCTTCAACTCAACAAGACTATATACGAAGAAATAAAGCATCCTGCTGTACAGAAGCCGTTACAGAAGGTCAACGATGAGCTTGCGCCCAAAATCATTCTCGGCCCGACGCGTGCTGAGATAGACCCCGTGTACGTCGCGCTCTCGGATACCTTCCATCTCGCCGGCAAGCAACTGCGTACGTACCTAGGTGGACCCCAAAAGCACAGTACTGCGGTCAAATATGTTAGCTTGAAGATTGGGTCTTGGTACAACGATACGTATCTACCGCAGCAAGTACAAAACGGGAATATGAGGGCTTCCAGTGCGCAGACCAAGTGCAAAACCAAGCACTTGCACAAGTTTGTGAAACAGACTTTGAGAAGAATGGCGCTTAGGAAGACTTGCGAGGTTCGCATTCGAATCCTGAACCACCCACTGGGGCCGCTTCACAAGCGAATATATAAGCTCGGTGATCCATTCTGTAACTACACGGAGTACGAGAGATTGGCCGCGAAAGACACTATACGGCGAGCTCTGAGTGTCAGGATGAAGCGCGAACTCACGACCGTGTACACAGCAGCGCGCGCAGACGCCCACAAAGGTATTCTGAAGATGATGGCGAACCACTTTCGATCGCAGAGGATGAACATCACGTTCTCGGTGGCGCGCGCAAGAGATCGGCGCTTGTTCGACATGGCCAAGTCACTCTGTTGAGTGTTTTGCCGCAGGGGATGCAGCTGTACCCGCTCTCATCACTCTCTACGGCAGCACAAGGATATTCAGTAGTCCCAACATATTGGACAAGCCCGGCCATGTACGCTAGAATTACACATCGTGCGTAACTCTTCTGATCCTGTGCCGATGTCTACGTGATGTTTCAACAGGGAGGTGTATGTAGGACTAATCGAGTTTTTTTGCAGTCAGCCGGGGTGCTTGATACGCGAACGCGATGGCCGGCATGGCTGCTGAAGTTGACCGTCGCGTCGAAATTGCAACAATGTGAAGATCGGGACCTCCGCTACGGGAATGCGCGATGGGACGTAAGCTGCCGACCATTGCAGTTCACATTGCTTACGCAACAACGTGAAGATTGAGAGCATAACCTTCAACGATAGCGACAAGGCCGACGTGGGCAGCAACGATCTAACGAGTGCGGTCCCAGACCCTATACCGAGATCACTGTGCCATCCTCTACTGTTCGCTATACCCTCATGGCACCGTATGAGACCGAATGCAGTCTCCATACACGTGTTGTCTAGTTGTATTGTGACGTTGTCTTCTGTCGTGCACCGTGGCGCATGTTCGATCGCGCGTTCTGGGAAAGTTCGTGGGAGTATGCGGGAGTGCATCGCGCCGAAGGAGAACGGTTCTTCATGCCCTGGGTGGCATCAGTATCCAGGTGCAGTTTGCATTGCGCACACCCGTGTGGTCGTATCCGCGTCTATGCCGTTGTCAATGTGTGTCAATAGATGCGCTGGAACGTAGTCGGAAGGCGACGGTTGGTGTTGATCGATCAGAGGTCACGGTCGTTGAGAGGGCACGCAGATGCGCATTGGCGATGGTCGGAACTCAGACATGTGATGTGGTGAATGCTGTCCTTTCGTGTGCGATACCTCGGCTCTAAGACACTCAGCGAGGAGATTTGGTACCTAGAACCTTTGCTTCGTTGGGAACCGGTGTGTAGGGCGGATAAGGAGTCGAGCGCTCAGTTCTTTGGATTTAAACCATGTGTCCTGCGGATGTGTCTTGGGCAGCGCGCAAAGCACATCTCAGACCCCTGGTCTTGGCGTGTCCGATGGAGAAAAAGTTCGGCATTGCCGGCCATCACGATATGTTGTGGAGGCCATTAGAGACTGTTGCGGAGACCATGGCGACTAGTACTGGACCGTGAAGTATGGGGGCCCGTGGTCCAGTCCCTGGGGTCAGTGCGGGTATGAGGGGTGTTGCGACGCGCACAGGATAACCGCGGTCGCTGACTTCGCATTCGTATAGTATTTCTCTGTCGGCAGGGAACAGTCTAGTTGGGTCGCGATGTGCAATGTACGTAGGTGGTGTTCTCGTTGGGTTGTTGGTGCTCACGTCGGCGTTGCCGCTATCGATAATGACAGTGTTTCAAGGAGCCGCTAGCCGTTCCCATCGACGCTATGACGTCGATGCTCACGCCTCACCACCGTGTTGGCGCCTGTCGAACCTTATTGATGTCCTAATTCTGTACCACACACGACCACACTCTTCTTTCTCTTGCGACTCTTTCTATCCGTCATCGTTAACACCTTGCTGCGAAACCTCGACTTTACTCCATGTCTTTCATGAGTATCTCTCTGGATTGCGCTCACTGAAAGCATTACCACATACTTACAAATCATCGAGAGCATAGAGACGCGTTGCGCACTACGGCTCAATCGACTCCGCGCACGGATATAGTACTCCGATGGTGTACTGCTAATACTCTTACTTTCACGACCCTTCTTTACAAACCCTCTTCAGCCTACGATCTGTCGCACAAAATCGATTTCCACAGATCGTGAAGAAATTCCGGTTTATTAGTGTGAGTAAAGTTTGACAGAGATACGCTAACGACGTCTAGGTCACTCTAGGTATGAAACTACGATCGGGCTTACGGTGAACCCTCGACATAGACGATGCAGGCTCATGTCCTATTATCAACAAAAGTATTCCTATTATACATCGATGAATTGAGAGACCTCTACGCGAACAAAAAGCAATGATGACGACGGCGATGCGCGATGGGAAGGTTAGACGTAGCTTGCAGCGGGCCGTTCGCCTCGACCCGCATCCTTGGCTATATGTCTCGACACCACGACCCAGACTCGTCCAGAACACGCAGCGCTCGAAACCCGAAGTGCGCCCGTGCACACAAGCGTAGAATATTGCTTCCACTGAAGGGTCAAGCCTCAGGCCAAGTGTATTCGGTGGCTGCAGGAAAAGGCCCTTCCCAAGTTGTCTTCGCCCAAGCTGAACTCTGGTGTGCAGTATCAACGGTGAAAGAACCTCTTCGCCAGGACTAGCGCTTCCGCATCTCTACACCGACGTAACGCCGCTGGAATCGTTCGATATCCGCAGCTTGAACTCCACGGTGGTAACGGCGGCCCACTTAACTATATATGTGAGACCGTACCCCAGGAAGCGGCACGATATATCGGCTGCACTTGCCCACCTGTTCTCCAACTCTTGAGCTATCTTATATTCTCTTGTCATCTCTTGTCTCTTCTTCTCTTGGCTCATACTCTTCTCTCGACATCTCCTCCTCCCTTGGCCCATCTTCTTCTCTTGGCTTAAAGTCTTGTCGTGACTACTACTCATCCTCTCTTGACCCTTACTCCTGCCTCACTCTAATTCCTGCTCCACTCAACAATCATGGAGGACGCTACCTGGAAAGAGACCCGACCAGGTCGATGGGAGCGCGCGCAAACCTACCTCGAAAGAATCAACATACTCACCCGCAACGTCCCCAACGCCATCGGCCGCGACAACTGGGCCAAGAACGCCGTTGCCAAACTCGAATTCCACCCCGACATCAAAGACCCTGCTGCCTACCTGCGGACGGCCTGGAAACAAGTCCGCTACAACCACCCCGAGATTGCCGCATTCCCATACAACGGTCGATACATCTACCGCGTCGGAGACGAGCCCTCGATTGCCTTGTGGGTTTCGGCGACCTTCTCCGTCGCCGAGGGCAAGACTGTTGATGAACTGCTCGGACGGATTCCACGGAACGAACAGATGATGTGCTACTTCCTTCCCGACACATCCGAAGTCATGATCTGGTCGCCACACTACCGCGTCGACGCCCGCGGCGCAATCTTCTGCCTCAACCACCTCGTCGAGTCCCTGGCCAACATGAACCCCAACTTAATCTT